ATCTAGGAGAGAAGAGCAGTTTTAGAAGACAACAGAAACAAAGTGATGCTAGAGTTAAAAATTGAAAGTCTCTCACATAAACTTACCAAGTCACATAATCATGAGTCTCCAGGCAGAGAGAGTAGGGTGAGTGAGCCAGAAGGAATGAAATTTTATGCTTTTGATTAACTGCCATGTGGCTTAAGAATATGGGAAATGATGAGGGTGAAGAGATGGGCAGGGAGCTAGGTAAGGAAGGGTTTTGTTGAAAATAATTTTACTTTGTCATGTGTACATTTGATGGGATGGTAAGCAGGACATAATATCAGATTTCTTATTTTGTAGTAGTAATATGAGGGAGAAATTAAAGTGAAGTAAGNGAGTGGGGTGAGTGAGCCAGAAGGAATGAAATATTATGCTTTTGATTAACTGCCATGTGGCTTAAGAATATGGGAAATGATGAGGGTGAAGAGATGGGCAGGGAGCTAGGTAAGGAAGGGTTTTGTTGAAAATAATTTTACTTTGTCATGTGTACATTTGATGGGATGGTAAGCAGGACATAATATCAGATTTCTTATTTTGTAGTAGTAATATGAGGGAGAAATTAAAGTGAAGTAAGGGAAGAAAGAGTTCAGTCAGTGGTTCCCAAATCCCACTGTGTATCATATGTGCACCTGTGGATTTTTTAAAAACCCAGATTTGGGGGCCTTGCTTCAGATCTACTGAATCAGATTTTATAAAATCTGATTTTATCAGACTCTTCTTTTTAGAGACAGACTGCTTGAATTTGAATATAGGGTCTACCATTTATTAACTCTAATCTTGGGTAAACTATTTAACCAGGTTCCTATCAGTAACATGGTTATGATATTAAAAATTAAATAAGTTAATAAATGAAGAATGTTTAGAATACCATTTTGTACATACTATGCACCATGTATAAATGTTTGAATTTAAAGCTGCAGGCCAAAATGCCAACTAAGAAACAAAAATTTCCTTGGAATTTCCTTTAGTCTGAGACTTTAAGAAGTGCTAGACAATTCAAGCAGTGAGATACAGTTTTCACCTATCAGCTTGACAAATATTAAAAAGATACAAAGAATCCATAATATATATTACTGCAGAGTGCATGGGGAAATGGATACACACATTCATGTATTTACTTGATTTATACTTAATTGGCAGAGACAAGAATGGTTATAGACCTTTTTGGAAAGGAATATTTAAATGTCACATCCATTAGATCATGAAATTTCACTTCACAATGTCTATCCTATAGAAATGCTGGTGCAAGAAGTGCAAAACACAACTTTTAGCTTCATGGGCCAAAAAGTTTTAAAGTCACCAAGCAAAAGAGTTGAGAGGTTTGAAAAATTTATATATTTATTAGAAATAACTGATCATCTGTTAACATTTTGAATGATTATGATCTAACCTCAGTTCTTAAAATCATATATTTACAATCAGGAATACTAACGGGCTTTTCTTGTGCAATTAGTATGCAACACAGATAGATAACTTAAAATATCTGCAATTATTTTGTGTTCTTGTAAATCTAAAGAATAATAGGCATTCTCTGTCAAATGGCTATAGCTTATTCATGAACTCTACACAAGAAGCTTAATAAGACAGTGGCTCTAAATTATCTTCCTAAATATATTTCCTGTACAAAGTAAAATTATAAGTGTGTGAAAACTATAGCACCACAAAGATTAAGCAATTTTGCCAGTTTACTCAAACAGTTCTAGGTCACTCTTGGAATTGGGTAAGCAAACTATTTGGAAGATAGAATTTTTACTGTACTCTTAACTGATTTCCAATATGACTAGCTGTCTGTGAAATAGCACCGTATGCAGATACATCAGTAGCAGAAATTTACTTGATTTATACTTAATAAAAACAACATAGATGGAATTGATAATTTTGAGTAATACAGTGAGCTTATTTTCATGCTGAAAATCTCCCAGTTTCCTTCTGGTCTACAAACCTTTTATTGTGCAATCTAGGTAGTAAGTAAACAAATAATACAAGATTCATTTCTTTATTCACCGCATGGTCTAACAAATAATTCTTGGTCAATACTGTAAATCTGTGGGATATGACCTGATGAAAAGAGCGTTCCTATGAGTAAATAAGAAGCTGGGCAGTGCAGATGCTGAAACTCATAAGACCTTTGGAAGCTTTAAGCTTAGCAATGTTTTAAGAGCTCGCATAGTCACATGTGAAGAACATCAGATAAATTTCTTCATTAAATTTTTATTAGAGGTCTCCTAATTTATGTCTACATTGATGATGATATAATAGAGGACATACTGATTTTCATCACTTTCATCTAACTTAGGTTTGTTGACTCTTGAAGTACATTACTTGTTTCATTGAGGCTTATTTCTTCCAAAATTATGGCACGTTCAAATTCTTGTTCTTACACTCCTCACTAGCTTAAATATATTGTCTTTTAAATGTTTTATCCAAGCTCACATTTCTAATGGATTTGTCTTATAATTTAGTTGCCACATCTCAGACAACCATAATTTTCAAAGTGCTGGACAATACAAGTATTTCTAAAGGTATAGAGGTAATCCATCACCATGGTTAGATTGATCAGATACAGGTAGTAATAAAAGCATTTAAATTTTTCACAAAGTTCCGTTTGGGTAGTCATTTGTTGGTAGCTTAGATTTGGTTGAGTAATTAAGAGAAAGGAATACTAAGTTTGAAAGTTGCTGATAAAATTCTAATCATCTAGACTAATTGTGGGATTTCAACTAATATTCATGTATATCATGAGGTCATTGATCAGCACTCTTTTTGGTAGTTTTACTTGAACCAGATAGGAAGCTGTTTCCCAGTGCTATGACTGCCTCTCACTTGCCAATTCAAGAGGGGAAAGAAGTGAGGGAAACAGTATCCCAGATGCTAGGGGACACACTGAATCTCTCCTAATTTATTTTTGAGTTTTTATTTAAATTGTACAGCATTGAGAAAATCTTGGTTCACATATGTAAGTAGTTACAAGTAGTAATAATTTGTTATAGTTCATCTTAAATCTCAAGATTTTAAAGTTAAATTGATCTAGATGCTTGAATTGAAATTTTTGTATCAAGTTCAGCTCTAACAACAGTAAATGTTGATATTCCGTAATAAAGTATGAAAGTCAGATAAGCACATGAACTTGAGTAAGTGCTAAAAACTATAACTGTTGTCACAATACAACTGTTAGGCATTCACTTGTCATTATACAACGTAAGGAGCATGTGCTGAGAATCCTGCCTGTTTCTTAATGTTGCTTCTAAGATTGAACCTTGCTGCTCTGCAGATCATTTGGAGGGAGGAGAGATGTGGGGTAGAGACAGTTGTGTACTCATTCCTAGGACATAAGGAGGATTAAGTAAAACAATGCTGGCAAAGTCCTTAGCATACTGCTAAGTGCTCAATAAATGGTAATGGCTATTCTCAACATTTAATAAATAATTGACTTAACAGGATTGGGTTGAGGGTCATAGAAGAGCAGCCAAGTGAGATAGAAGCAGCATTCTCCATTATGAAGATAAAACGTGGAAGAGCAAAGGCTTTGGAGTAAAAAACACCTGGGTTCAAATCCCGTCTGCTACATAATAGATATATATTTTTAAATATGTTTTTATTGATTTCAGAGAGAGGAAGGAAGAGGGAGAGAGAGACAGAAACATCAATGATGAGTCATTAATCGGCTGCCTTCTGCATAGGCCCTGACTGGGAATTGAACTGTGACCTCCAGTTTCATAGGTGGAGGCTCAATCACTGAGCCACGCTAGGCTGGGCCATAGTGGCTATTTTTAACCAACTACATCCCTGTTTCATCATTTGTAAAATAGGGATAATATCTAGCCTATTTATAGATTGTTATGAGAGAACTAGGCACCTAGTACAGGGCAGTGTTTGCCCCATAGTAGGTTTTAATAGATAGCTATTAAAGAGAAAGCTAAGGACAGAACCCAGTTTAGCCTTGTTGCTATGCAGTTAAGCAGAGAAAGTCAACTCTTCTTGGTCTGATTTATGAAGATCTTTTTGATTGGCTATTCTTGGAAAAGTTCCCCATAGACACATTACTGACACCTTTATTAATCTTTGTTAACCCATTCTTTTAAATTCTTAGAATTGTGCCACATCTTTGTTTTTCTTCCATACCCCTCGTTTATTTAGTACCTGTTGTGCTAGTGATAAGTAAGGGGCTGTTAAGGGAGTAAGCAACCTGAAAACAGTGGCTTATTATAGCTGCTAATATAAATTCTTATAGCGTATAGTCACTGTTGCTCATATGGTAAAGTGGAAGGTGGGAAAGTATTGTAGTCAAAAGAAACTTTGAGTCAAAAATCAATTTGTAGGTATTACTGTTCTACCTGCTTAAAAACACCTGTTTTCACATTACTATGCATAACTTCTGTTTCTCTAGACTTAATTATGATTTCTGTATGTTGAGACTTTTTGAATGGCTATGAAGGTGTAGCATGCCTTCATATACAGGCTATTTTTTCAGATTTGGGCTAAAACGAAAACATCCTCTTCAATTTAACGTGCCTGGGAGGAAACACCTATTTCAGACAGGTTTAAAGCTTCATCTTGGACTTCTTGTTGAAAGTTCCTTGTCTGCAGTAATCCAAAAATTTCTATAGCACTCTATTAAAAATACTTTCATGCCCGGCCGGGCATGGCTCAGTGGTTAAGCGTCGGCCCAGGATCCAGGCAATCAGGGTTCGATTCCCGGTCAGGGCACATGCCCGGTTGCGGGCTTGATCAATGACTCTCTCCTCATTGATGTTTCTGTCTCTCACTCTTTCTCTCTTCTTTCCTCTCTTTGAAATCAATAAAGATATATTAAAAAAAAAAAAAAGTGTTAAAAAAAAATACTTTCATGTAGCAGGCAAATCTCTATGTAATTTAATTACATAGCATCTTCTAAATCCTTCTGTGGTAAGCAGAATGTAAAATTAGTTTTATTCAAGCAAAGGCAAACTAACATAAATTTTCTGTCTCTTTTATGCCCCCTCCCACTCTTTTTTGTTATATAGGATAAGTTCTGAACGTCGAAAAGAAAAGTCTAGAGATGCAGCCAGATCTAGGCGAAGTAAAGAGTCTGAAGTTTTTTATGAGCTTGCCCATCAGTTGCCACTTCCCCATAACGTGAGTTCGCATCTTGATAAGGCTTCTGTTATGAGGCTTACCATCAGCTATCTGCGAGTGAGGAAACTTCTGGACGCTGGTGAGTTGTTTTACAAGGGCATAATAGGCCTAAACATTAAAATTTAAAAGTAATTAAAAATTATATTTAGAGGGTGGTCATACTCTTAATTCTTCCTTAATATGGTTACCTTTTTTATTACATGCTTTTAAAGTTTCAGGCCTTTTGCCCCTCTTTATTTCCTGCCCCACCTACCTACCTATCTACCAACCTATCTTCTTTTTAATTTTTTTTTAATCCTCACCCAAGCATACATTTATTGATTTGAGAGAGAGAGAAATCTATGTAAGAGAGAAACATCAGTCAGTTTCCTCTTGCACATGCCCAGACCAGGGATGGAACACAAACCCCGGCATGTGCCCCTGACCAGGAATTGAACCCATAACCTCCAACCAACTGAGCCACCTGGCCAGGGCCCTACCTTCCTATTTTTTAATAACGACCCTTCTTTCTCTTTTCAGTGGTTTTCCTTTCCTTGCTGTATTACTTTAAATAATCATTAAAAGCAGCTGGCAAATCTAATTTTAGTATTCCTGTTCTCTGGCCTTTACTGTTCTGTGTTAAAAGGAAAGTGACAAGGAAAATTTATTCAGAAAAAATATGTGTTGTGTATATTAAATAGGGAAAACTTTATTAAAATAAACACCTATATATTATTCATCTAAGTAGAACTTTTAAACTAATTGTTTTCCTCTTTTTGTGCCTTTTTCAGGAGATTTGGATATTGAAGATGAAATGAAGGCACAAATGAATTGCTTTTATTTGAAAGCCCTGGATGGTTTTGTTATGGTTCTCACAGATGATGGTGATATGATTTACATTTCTGATAATGTGAACAAATACATGGGATTAACTCAGGTAAAATACCCGTTTATTAAGAGTCCTTCTTTATATATTTATGATTTTATGATATAGATCTAATTTTTTAAAATGTGTTTACAGTTTGAACTAACTGGACACAGTGTGTTTGATTTTACTCATCCGTGTGACCATGAGGAAATGAGAGAAATGCTTACACACAGAAATGGTGAGAAGAAAAGTCTATTGTTTGATTTAATGTGACAGGTAGTTTTACCTGATCAGATTCTGTTACTCATTTTTAGACTTTGTTATTCTACCAATCTAAGGCAAAACGTAAGTTCATGTTTAATAAAATGTTACTCTATTCTTTGTTAAGTCCATTCTATTTTTAAGGAATTTCATTAAAATATGTAAAAAAAATTTTAGAGTCCACTTAATTCTGTAAATATATAGATACAAGAGTAGATAAAATAAACTGGAAAAATAAGTAAAAATCAGGACCAAGGAAGTTATAAATTAAGATACAACTTTAAGGCAAGGAGAAATCATAATACAAATGGCAGATAATAGGATTTTAGACAGGTACTAATGTTGAAGTGCTGGTTGGATTCAAGCTTTCTAAAGGCCCAAGAAAAAGAAAAGAGAAGGTTCACTAGGTTTTAAAAAACATAATAATTGCTTATTTGACCTCATGATGTTCACAATAACTTGAGAGTATGTAGTTAGATTACAAAGTATTACATTATGGATGCCCCCACATTAGCAGCAGTAAAAAAGACCTGCTAAAACCTCTAACTCTTAGGAATGAATTGTTAAAAATAATCAGATGTTCCAAGATTTGGGGAAAGTAACTCTTTTCTCCCCCACAATTTAAAACATGAATTATTTACTTCTGGAATTTTCTATTTAATAATTTTGGACCCAAGGTTGACTGTGGGTAACTAAAACTGCAAAAAGCAAAATGCCAGATAAGGAGGTGACTGCTGTACTCCCAGAGTACCCTGTCACTGCCCTACTACTTATTCTATGGCCTATTAGGAATCTTCACTTAAACACTTAACAAGAAAGTCTTTTCATACCTGTGCCTTCTAAAATAGAGTATCTTGATCATAATTTGTAAATTTTTGTTGTATCTTTCATGACTGAAAGTTACAATGAAAATTTGGCATTTTGCTCTGTAGTTGTTCTTTGCCACTCTCTAATTTCAGTGTATAAGTTTGTTTGCTTGTGTATTAAAAATTAAATTATAGTATTGAATAGTTTTTTGAATAGTTTTTTATGGTTTCGTTTTCATCTTACTTATGTATAATAATAGTTAACATCTTTTGAGAGATTACACTGTGCCAGAACACTGTTCTCTGAATTTAACTCCTTTATTACAACAACCGTGTGAAGTTACTATTATTTCTGATTTACTGAGGAATTGGAGCACAGAGTTGTTGAGTAGTTGGCCCAAGATTACTGGGTTAGTTAGTAAATGGCAGAGCATGGATTAAACTCCGGTGGACTAGCTCCAGAGTCCATGCTCATTAGCACTTTAGAACTCTTCTCGCGTTCACCAACTCAGTACATTCTACTGCCATTTTTCACTTTGTGAGCAGAAGCCCTCTCCTGTTTTTAAATTTCATACTTCGTGTTTACTGTGAACTTGGAAAGCAAATGTATACTTTTTAGAATCCTGTATAAAGGAGGAGTAAATACATTCTGAGCAAGGACCTAAGTGGGTTGTCAGTGAGTTTAATCTTTGAGTTCAGGTGGTTAGACTTGAGGATTTGTATTGGCTCCTCATTGCTTCCATTAGACTAGACTAGAAGTGGATGGATATTAGGAAGTCTTATTTTGATCTGGTAATAATGTTAATGCATTATTCTAAATCAGATAATAGTCTGCTTAATGTAGTTTAAATGTATGTTTTTAACCAAATTTATTTTAAGCACATGAACATTTTTTTGAAACCATTCCTAATGCAGTTAATGGATTTTTGATGTTTTATTGAGAAACAAAAATACAGATTTTCACTTTTAGAAAAGAGGGGCTGCTATAGCACATCACATTTTAATGATACACAAAGAGCCATTGGTGTATTTACACAGCATAGTCCTATTATTGTTTTTTTAAAAATTATTATTATTGAATTTAGAGAGAGAGAGGAAGGGAGGAAGAGAAGAGAGGGAGAGAAACATACATTGATTTGTTGTTCCACATATTGATGCATTCATTGGTTGATTCTTGTATGTGCCCTGACTGGGATTGAACCCATAACCTTGGCGTATCTGGACAATGCTCTAACCAACTAAGCTCCCCGGCCAGGGCCAGTCCTATTATTCTTTCCTTCAAATGTTAAAAAGATGATTCGGATTTCTTAAACTATTATAAAATATGATTTATTTTTATAAGGCTGAAAATTTATTTCTTGAAAGAGGTTTTTTCTGTTATGAAAATGGTAGTACTTTTCCACTACCTTGGTATTATAAAATTTATCTTCATGTCCTAATTCAACGGATTAGGGTTTCCAAAGGTCAGTCCAATTAAACCTTAGACTATGAAGGTGTGAAAATACCCCAAAGAGTTTACATATGGATCCCTACTGCCACCACCACCACTACCACTCTCCATCTCCCCTACACATCCTTATACCATCACCAAGACCAGTATGGTTGTGTGGCATCTTTTAAAAATCCACTTTCAGACACTTCTAAGGAAGGCAAATTCAATCCGTATTTAAGTAAACCCCAAATAATTTGTATGAGCACCAAGACTGCCCTAACTTGCCTAGTTTCATTATTATAAGCCTGAACTATAACTCCTCTTCCTCAAGAGTCCAGCGTTTCTAGCTAACCAGGCCTAAATTTAAACAACTTTTCCACTCGACACTTTTATTTTAATATACTACTAGCCTTAAAAATCTTCAAATCTTTGTTTCTCTGCTGCCTTATTTCCATAAATTTTCAAGTTTTTATAGGTCCTACTTCATTTATCTTTTATCATTCTTTTTACTTCTGCTGCTGTTCAGCCCCTCATCATCATGTATTCTAATTCTTACACATCCTGTATGTTGCTGCTAGATTAATGTTCTTTAACTTCTGATTGTGCTTCCCACCTCAGAATTTTTTGGAAGCTCCATGTTGTATATTTAAGGCTGAACTCCTCATTGTAACCCTCCATAGTCACAGCTCTAACCTTCTGTTCTAGCTTTGTCTCATTACTCTTTTGCATGTACTTTATATTATGGCCAAACTGAACTGTCTAGTACTGGTCCCCAAGTGTGCATTTTTCCCTCACCTGTGTGCTTTTCCTTCCCTTCTGCCTGGAATACCCTTCAACTCATCTCTACTTATTGAAATTCTAGTGTCTCTTTTTCTAAGAAGAACTTCCTGATTTCCCCTGGACTGAAAGTTATATTCTAAGCTCTCTATACTTCGTAAATGTTTTTGTAAGTCTTGGGCACTTACTCTGCATTGTATTGTCATTGGCTTCCCTGCATCTACTAAGTGTTTAACTTCTTCAGGACAGGCAGTGTGTCTTGTTTTTCTTGGTACTGCCTGCAATATCTAGTCCAGTTCCTGAGTAATGAATACCAAACCAGACTGATTAATAAGGATAAGAAATCATGTTGCTATTTGCTTAGTCACCTGAGTGTTGTAATCTCATTTTTTTAGTTATATGATGGTTTAGAATATGAGTAAATAGACTTGAATTGATTTAATTCCAGCTTTGCTTTGAAAAGTCATTTACTTTTTCCCCCTGCTAGTAACAAAATAGAAATAATTTTCTGCCTGCTTTATAGAAAGATTTATGGAAAAATCAGATATATAAAAATGTCTATTTGCTATGGAAGAAATTTTCTATTTTAAAAGTTCTATAAGTAATGGATATAAATCAGACAGTATTTAGTAAATGTTTGGAAGAGTTTGCTAAAGTTCCTTTTTGGGAGGTATGCTTATATACTGATAGCATAGTTTTAGGAAAAATTCATACCATATTTCTATTTCTTTGCAATTTGACCAACTTTACTGGCTTAATTGTGAAATGATTAACTGTTACCCAACTATGGATTCTCCTCCTACCAACTCAGGGAATCACTACTGTTAACGAACCCAGTATTGACTGGAGGGTGTTAGGTTGCTGGATGTATCAGAGTGGGGCAAAGCGAGTGTGAATCTCTTCGTTCATGCTGGGGTGTTTAATTGAACAGATTCTAGGTGCTGGGTACTGTGCTACTCTTACTGTAACAAATTTGCATACTTAATTAAGTTTTCAAACTTTATTTCATGATTTCCTTAGGCCTTGTGAAAAAGGGTAAAGAGCAAAATACACAGCGAAGCTTTTTTCTCAGAATGAAGTGTACCCTAACCAGCCGGGGCAGAACTATGAACATAAAGTCTGCAACATGGAAGGTAAGTAAAAATAATTTGTGAGTGGTGATGCACTTGATTTATAGATAACTTCATGCATCTTGACATTGCTAGTATTAAGGTAGCTTTAGAACTGTGAAGGAAGACTTAAGAGTTGTTCCTTGTCATTCGCAGCTTTAACATCCAAACAGTATAGTAATTTGCTGGTTAGATGCATGATATGAATTGTGACACTGGCGTACCAAGCTAAATTAATCATTTGGCTTTGCCAACCATCCAGAGTTTGAATCTTGATAGAGCTTAAATTTTTATTCATTGTTGTATCATTTTTTTGCTCAGTATTAAAACAGTCATCAAAGAAAGAAATAATCATCAAACAGCTACAATGACCAAGTGAATGAAAAGTCAGCCTAGATTTATATGAAGGAGATTTTTAAAAAGAGTAATCTGTGGTGCCTAAGAAGTAGGCCATGGGTGGTGTTATAGGGGAAACATTTATTGATTTTCAAAAATATAGTTAATCTTCTAATGACAGTAAATTTTATCAAGGCTTATTTGCCATATCAGATTCAACTACTTAACCTGTGCATTTTGTTTTTTTCTAGCATTGTATATATTTTTAAGAACTGCCTTTTCTTCATACACAGGTACTTCACTGCACAGGACATATTCACGTGTATGATACCAACGGTGATCAGTCTCAGTGTGGGTATAAGAAACCACCCATGACGTGCTTGGTGCTGATTTGTGAACCCATTCCTCATCCATCAAATATTGAAATTCCGTTAGATAGCAAGACTTTTCTCAGTCGTCACAGTCTGGATATGAAATTTTCTTATTGTGATGAAAGGTAAGTGAGATATAAAATATAACTTGAAATTTTTTAATTAGTCCACAACTTTTAAAATACTATTTACTGTAAAAGATTCCTACTCAGCTGAATACTGTGATACATCCTCGAACTCAGTAATATTATATTTACTTTGCAGATTAGTTCAGCCACATTGAACACTTACTATGTACTATGAATACTTACTCTACCAGGTGCTTTTATTAAGATGAGGTCTTTTACCTTTAGGGACTCTAATTTATAGAGAAAACAAATACATTTCAAAGACATACAATACATAATTTGAAGAAGGATGTATTCCTTTTGGTTATGGACTAGAAAGGTCTTTCGTCATCTCCTGACCCTGTGAATTTTCCCTGAATAGCTTTATCCTTGCCCATGGTTTTTATTGCCATTTCCAAATTTATATTCCTATTTCTATTTAATTGCCAGTTTGTTTGTTTTTTTTGGATAGATAACTCTTCCATATTATAAACTAAATCTTTCTGTAACTGAACTGCACCACTACTGCCTCAAATAATAGTAACTTTAAAAACTGGCTTTCCTCTTATAATGCCTCTCATGATTAAATATGCCACTGTAGACACATGACTCCAGCAAAAATTTGGAAGTCATCCTTAACTTTTCTTTTACCCTCATTATTTACACTTAATTGATCTCTATATCTTATAGATTTACTGTCTACTTATATCTCTTGATCCATTCCCTCCTTTCCACCTTTGTTTTCCTGCCATTGAATTCTTCAGTTCATTATTACCTTTGGCTTGAATTGTTGCCATAGTCTCTTAAGCTGTCTCTCTGCCAGTACACTTGTGCCCTTTTATTCTCTCATCCCAGTTTCTTAAAAGTGGACTTCCTAATGTGAAAATCAGATCATACAATTCTCTTGTTGAAAATGCCTCAATTACTTTCTTTCATCTTCACACATAAAAACTTTTGTTTATAAAAATATTAGAGGAGGGCAGGAGAGTTTTATTTATCAAAAGAAGATAAGCATTTTAAAAAACTGAAAGAAATATAGAACTACACAATAAAATCTAAACTCTTTAGCATGCCAAACAAGGATATTTATGATCTGGCCCCTGCTCACTTGTCCCGATTAATCAGTAGGAAGGGGACCCCTTCTCATGTGTCCCCTAACACCTACAGCCAGAGTGCTCCACATACCGATTTGCTGTCTCAGTGCCCTGCACATGCTTTCCCATTCTGCAGTGACGTTTCTTCAACTCCTAACTGGTACTTCTTCCAAGGGCCACCTAATGCATCTGTTTCTCTGGAGTTTTCCATGTTCCTTAAAATTAAACTGTTTCTGTATACCTCTGTCATAGCATTTGTTCTACTGTTATAATTATTTGCCCGCTTGTCCCCTTTTTTTCCCCTTTTCTTTCTATAAGGCTGTGTAACATAGTGGCTAAAGGCATAGATTCTGTAGCTAGACGACTAAGTCCTGACTTTGCTGCCTCTTTTGGAAATTAAATAGGACTCGTAAGTTCTGCTCTTGGAGTATCAGTGTTTTCATCTTTAGTAACACCTACTTTATTTGGGTCATCTTGAAGGTTATGTGATAAAACCAATTTTAAGCACTTAGTCATAATATAGATAAGAATACCCCACCCCATTGGACAAGGACATGTTAGAGTGCTGGCTTTGGAATCACATAACCCTGGAGTTAGCTCTGGCCTGCAGCTCTGGTACTTACAGTGTGGCGTTGGTCTTAGAACTTAACTTTGTAAATCTCATGTTTCTTATCTAAAAGAAGAGTCATATTTCAAAAGGCTGTTGCTAAGATCAAAAGAGTTTATGAGTGCCTAGTACACATAGTGAATGTTTCACCTCTGCTGTCAGCTTTAAGAAAAATGAAGATAGAAAAGCTAAGAAGTATTTTATGGCATTTACTGCCTATATTCATGCGAATGTATGACAAAACAGAAATGCCTGTGTGTTTTTGAGAAATTATTTTTTTAACTTAGTAACAAAGTGTTAGGGGTAGGCTGGGAGAAAGGAAAGCGATGGAGCTAGAAAGAGAAAGGTTATATCAGAAAATTAGCAAAATGATCATGACAGAGGAGTAATGACAACCAACTTAGAGATCAGCGAAGTAAGGTTTTGAATTTGACCAGTTAGTTTTCTGGTTAGAGCTCTTTCTAGAACTTCACATCTATAACCCCTGAGAACAAAGATAAAACATTTTGCCAAGTTTTAAGAAAATCTAACATATCAAACTTCTGCCACCTAAAATATCCCATAAACAGCTATTATTTACTATACCAATTTCCACTTATAATCATTTAACATTTATTTGAGCACCTACTATGTGCATCGCAAATGACGATTAGCAGTTCCTGCCCTCGAGACACTTAACAATGAATGAACGGTATACTGCATAGTTGTTGGAGATCACAGGTTTCCTAGTCCATTAAAAATACTTTATCGAATTTTCTGGATCACTCCTCCCCTTTTTTGGTACAGAATATAAGGTATGTAATTCTCTAAAGGTAAATTAACTTTTTACTTTTCTTCCTCCAATATGAATAAAATTGACCTCCTAGGAAAATATTTGCTATTTATATTTTGCACATATAGTGCAAAATATAAGTAGCACATATTTATATTGCATCCCTTAGTGGCAGACATATCTCAACTCAGATTGAGAAGCACTGATTGACATCTGATTAAATCAGAGCTGCTTAACATGATATACAAGACCTTCACTAACCTGATCCTCCTGCCTATGTAGTGTCAAGCATTTTCTCACCTCTGTCTTTGCTTGTGGTGTACCTTCTTCTCTGACTCTCTTATACTCACTCAACTCATAAATCTCCTATAGAAAGCTGTCCTTTATCCTACCATTCCTTCTTATGGGTAGGAGTGCTTCCTCTGATTCCTGTAGCAGGTTCTTATAGCTGTAATTACATACTGTTTCTTAAGTAGTATGGTAGATATACCAGAAGATTAGCCACATGTTGAGCTTTGTCTTTCCATTTCACACCTAGAACAGTGCCAGGCATATATAGGCATATAAAGGTTTAAATGATGAAAAAATTAATTTCATGGGAATATTATTTAAACATATAACCTACATAAGATCAATTAAAATTATTTTTAAAGCATAATTTAAAGAAAGAATGCTACTTTAAAAAAACAGCACACAAGAGTTTCCTTTGAAATGCTGCCACCTAGTGTAGATGTGCTTAGAAGGGAGATCCCTTTGTAAAGAATTCTGGATTTTGACTTGATTTGGTTTAATTTTTGTGTTTGTTTTTTACAAATCAGCTTTCTGTTTATCTATTCATTTTGGTATAAACTATGGCAGATTTTTCCTTAAAGTCAACATAATATTATTTTTATATATCCTTCTTCGGAGAAGGATGTCTTCCCTGTCTGCTTTCTGTTGGGGTACAGTTTTGTTTTTTGCTTTTTGGACACAGTATTATTGTTACATAACTTTTGCTTGCACCTCAGAAAGTCCTTTGAAATCTAAAGTATGAGAAATAAAAAAGCTTAACTCACGTTTTGCTTTCGGAAAAGAAGAGAACATTTCTCTTCTAAAAAGTGCTAAGAAGACAGCTTTCTCTTTCTCATGAAAAGGGTTCCATTATTTCAGGCTGTAGTTACAGACAATAGTAAAATTTAGTCTCTGTCCTAAAGGAACTCCCAGAAAACCAGAAGGGATAACTGGATTATTTTCTAGTCCACTTTCACTTTGATATCATTGTTTCATCTGAAATGAATTTCTGTAACTTTATGTAATTTCAAAAATGAAGTACAAGAGCATCTTCCAAAACCAACGTAATAGGTATTCCTTTATTACCATTTAGTGTGGATGGTTAATGACATTAACATTTTGTAGTGGATATTGACCCCCCAAAGTGAAGCCTTGCCTAGGGGACCTGTTATATAAAGAATGTGGTTTTGTACACACACACATGCACACGAATCTGGTTTTATGATAAGATAATATTATCGATTTAGTCTATCAATATTTTAAATTAAATGTCAGTGACTTAGCAGTACTTCATATCTATTTGTTAATACCCTGTCTTGTTACCAAAAGTATGTATAATAAAATGTGATAAAAATAGGTAACAAGTTTAGTGAAGGGTATTAAAGAGTCAGATAACAGGATGAATCCAGAGGACTTAAAGAAATTGTGCTGTATTTAGGAACTGAAGAGTTACTACAGGTGAAATGTAAATTTATTTTCAGCAAAGAAAAATGCTCTTTATTTTTGAAAATTCACTTGTTCATAAGATTAATGCGGATTCATTACTCTAAAGAAGCAAAGTTTTTCATTATCAGTTAGTTTCTCTTTTTTCTTACATTTTTTTACTTAACAGAATTACCGAATTGATGGGATATGAACCTGAAGAACTTTTGGGCCGCTCGATTTATGAATATTATCATGCTTTGGACTCTGATCATCTGACCAAAACTCATCATGATAGTAAGTACAATGGAGGAACTCATAAATATTCTGTTTAACTCTTACATTCTCTTTACTTTTTGGTCATACATCTATGTACATCTAACTTTTTGGTTAATATTAACCAGTCTTTCTAGACTAAATGTCTTAACAAAATTCTTCGTAAGGGATCTTGACCATTAAATGTATATTTTGTATTTGTTCAAGCAATACCAATTAAAGCAGGATCACTTGATATCTAAAACTTCCCTGGCATTTTAAATACAAAGACTCAAAAAATACATCATAGGATATTATAGCATCATCTTCAGAAGTCATACTTAAATATTCAGAACAGTGGTTTGAATAGAAGGCATTCAGAAAATAGTTGTTCAGTGAAGTGAATTGTTTAGTGAAGTGAAGGTGATCAACAGCATGCACTAGTGGTAATAAGTACCCTGGGCATAAGGTATGTTTCTCAGTTTTACTCAAATGTTATTTGAAGATCCCATGGTAAGTAAAACTTTGGAATTTCTCACTTGCCTGTTGAATCTGTACCTAAACATGACTTCCCAATGTGATTGGGGATTCCTGAATGTCACTGAGTTAGTGTGATTAGTCTTGAACTACCGAATGGGCACCAATACTCATGATAATGTCATCTTTACTATTTCTCTAGTACTTTTTCCCAAATCGATAATTAAGATTGCTAAAGTGCCAAAGACTTCGGCATGATATCAGTTGAGATTCAGATATGCTAGCATAGCTATTTGAAGCATCTTTGGTTATCTAGAAACTATAGCAGGAATTTAAGAAAATAATAGCAGTACTTTTTTCTTGAATCTTCTCTGTGGAATCAAGATTATTCATTCTCTAGTCTTTCTGATACTCTCAACATATAACTCAGTAAAGGAATTTTAGTCTCTGTTGTCCCTCATTCCTGGCTTTCATTTTATTTAAAGTGAAGATTGGCAAGATAGTTTATTCGGGAGGTTATAAGAGTAAAATGGGGTACATTTTCAGCTACGCTGGGGCTTTTTCTCTCATTTTCAATTTAAACAATTACAGCTGATTCCATTAATATTAGCGTCTCTCCTTTTCTAAAACCATTAGCATTTCGCATCCATTCATTTGATTGACAATTCAAAGTTATTTTCTCTGCTTAAACTCTTTCCATTTTACTCCTAGTGTTTACTAAAGGACAAGTCACCACAGGACAGTACAGGATGCTTGCCAAAAGAGGTGGATACGTCTGGGTTGAAACTCAAGCAACTGTCATATATAACACTAAGAACTCTCAACCACAATGCATTGTATGTGTAAATTTTGTTGTGAGGTAAGCTTGGAAAATATTTTGGGGGAACAAGTAGTAATTCTTTTTTCTTTTAAAGGAAGAAAAGATTATAAGCATTAACTGATTTTTATTTTATTTTCTCATTTCTATCTAATTACGGTTTTTAGTATTCTAATCTGTATTTCCAGGCCAGCTATTCTATAGTGATTCTTCTACTACCAGTAGCTGTCTATCCCCATTCTTTTCACTCCTATTTTTTAAAAGACCTGAAAAAAATACTAGAGTTATGGATTAGTTTGTTCTAGTCATACAGCTATTAGCATATATTATCTCACTGCAGCTATGTTATTTTTGCAGGAACAATACTGGCCTTGGAATAGTTAGGTTTGTGTTGTAGTTTTGTCATTTCTCCATAACCTTGGGGAAGTCTTGTTTCTCCGAATTTTGTCCATATTGGTACATAAGAGATGGTAATACTTAACTTAAAAGGTTATAATGAGAATTAAATGAAATCCTATGTAAGATTATTATAAAAGTCCATATAATGTGATACATGGTTCTTAAATATTCTTCACTTTTTCCCTTAGCTGATGGGCTTGTGAATATTATGGGTATCATAAACTAACCTTTTGATCAATTAAAATAGGCGAATGCCCTGTTCTAGTCCATCTTCCACATTACCTCGAGGCTGATTTTTCTTGCATGGATATCTGCTCATCTCATTCTCTTTAAAATTGTTTTAAACATCCCTTTATCACCTCCTCAATAATAAAGTCTCACCTACTTGTAGAGCATCATTTTTTGTCATTATCTTCTATACTCCCATGCTTTCGTAACTGTAGGCCTCTTTCTAAAATCTGTGGCCGCCTCTCCTAGGAAGACTTTGGTCATTTGTTTTTATTTTTGCTAATAATGACACCATCCTTTAATGCTTTAATATTAGTGCCAAACAGTTCTTTGGTGACTTTCCCATTTTATAAGAATCAATGACTTGGAATGCCCTTTACCCCTCACTGCAGTCTGCGTAATATTACTTGAGTCCAAGTTTCAGCTGGTAGGCCCCTCTCTGGAGCAAGCCTTCTCCATTTTAGTAGTTATCACTTTGTATTTTAATTGTTTACACATTTACTTTCACACTGGGCTATAAACTTGAGAGCAAGGGGAAGATATTTTAATTTTTTTATCAGTTTATTTCACATAGTTAGTACTTAATATTTGTTGATTAAAGGAGCAATAAAATTTATGTTTAAGCCAAATGAATATGGAGCTGTTTATTATCCCCTTTCAACTCTATCCCTGCAGGTGGTATCACCATATCATTTTCCTACCACCAAAGAAAACATGGCACCCCTCTTAGAAAGACCGTGGTCATTTATCTATATATCTTTATATTCTAGGACCATCCTTCATGCCAAAGAGTTCTGGCCCAATTTCATTCTTTGTGGGTCAGCACAAAAATTGGGAAGATCTATTTATGCCTTTCATGTACTTGACTGTTACATTTCTTTGTCACCACCACTCTTCCCAAAGGGATAGCTGAAGTTTCTTAATTGAAATTAGTCAAATATTTGAATTATCTTATACTGTGAATTTTAATAGGTCTTTATTTCATATTGGTATTTTAAACCCTGAATGAATGAGAGATTAGGTCAAAGTATCTTAAAATGTTCTTTTTCATAAAGTGGAATTTTTTTTTATGAGACAAGTCCTTTCAGAGTCCTTTTCCCCTTTCCCACATTGTGTCAAGTGCTCATTTAAGAATTACTGAACTCTCTTTTTGACAGTGGTATTATTCAGCACGACTTGATCTTCTCCCTTCAACAAACCGAATGTGTCCTCAAACCAGTTGAATCTTCAGATACGAAAATGACTCAGCTATTCACCAAAGTTGAATCAGAAGATACAAGTAGCCTCTTTGATAAACTTAAGAAGGAGCCTGACGCTTTAACTTTGCTGGCCCCAGCTGCTGGAGACACAATCATATCTTTAGATTTTGGCAGCAATGGTGGGTCTTTAGTTAATTACCTAAACTGTGTCTGCTGGTGCAAGCCCATTTTAATGGAACTTTATGCTGACATTTTTTGTTGGTAATCATTTGGACATTGTGGGGTTTTTTGTTGTTAATCCTCACCCGAGGATATTTTTTCCACTGATTTTTTTTTTTTTTTAAGAGAGTGTGAGCAGGGGGGCGGAGAGAAAGATGTAAGAGAGACACATTGATTGGTTGCCTCCTGCACACACCCCTGCCAGGGCTGGGGATCGAACCCGAAAGTATATTCTTAAATATTTTGCCTCTGTAATTTCTCAGCATTCCTGCTTTTGTCACATTGTTGGAAATTGTGCTTCAAAGTGTCCTTAAGTTATTTCTTCTTCCACTTTAATTTTTCTCAGCTACTCTGCTATTTTTATATTTTTCTGTCATATTTTCTCTATAATTTAGCAAAGTTATATTGCAATAAGTGTAGCTGCATTAAAGGATAAATAAGCAGTCATACCAGTATCACATTAAAAATGAAAACTATTTCAAACTAGGTTAAGTTTTAATGAAGAAAAGATTGGAATTGCTGGGTTTTTTATTTCATATAGATTAATAGGATTTGTCAGAAGTGGGCTGGAAAGATAACTCAGACTTATGGTTATACCGTAGTATCTTTCTGTAAACTTTCTGATTAAGGAAAATTTGGTAATATTTTTGTTGTTTGAGTGAACTTAGACAAACCTTTGGTAAAGGAGGACATATTTCTGTATATCTTAAAATCTAGATATTCTTTAAATTGACTCATTTTTTCCCTACAGACACAGAAACTGATGACCAACAACTTGAGGAAGTTCCATTGTATAATGATGTAATGCTCCCCTCATCTAATGAAAAATTACAGAGTATAAATTTGGCAATGTCTCCATTACCTGCCTCTGAAACTCCAGAGCCACTTCGAAGTAGTGCCGATCCTGCACTCAATCAGGAAGTTGCATTAAAATTAGAACCAAATCCAGAGTCCTTGGAACTTTCTTTTACCATGCCCCAGATTCAAGATCAGCCAGCTAGTCCTTCTGATGGAAGCACTAGACAGAGTTCACCTGAGGTAAGTGTCATGATAAAATAAGAAAGATTTTTATGTTCAGATTTTAATGTTCAGGAAAAAGTGTAGTTGTAGACTTGATTCAAACTTTAATTTGACCTACATGTCATGGTTTTATTTGTGTGTATTTTAGCACTTTAAAATTACAATAATTGTTAAGAGCTTAACTTGGACCTCAGTGCATATTTTAGTCAGATAAGAACATGGGAAGGAACTGGCTTAACAAAAATCAAAAGGAAAAACTTACGTTGCTCCTCTATATATTTATATCAATAAGACAAGAAAAGCCTTGCATATATAAACCCACAGAGAAAAAAACTGTGTGTGCCTACGATAGTCTAAGCCCATACATGTTACCCTTTGAGTTGGAGAATTGTCCACCAAAAAAGGCTTAAAAGCGAAAGGACGACCCTAAGCTTTGCCCAATTTAGTCGTTTCCATTACTGTTTTGAAATTCTGGATAAGTGTAACATGAAAACACCAAATTGTACACAGAGTAAATAATAGCTATTTTTTATGTGAGTTCTGTCTTTATATTAGTTTTTCTATAAACAATAAAAATCCTCTTTAAGGGCTAGGCTGGGCTAAGACTAAAGGTATTACATAGGGCTCTATTTCTAAATCTAGAGTGCTTCAATTTCAGAGCTTCCTGTGTCTAAAAATATGCTCAAGAGTTAGATAACTGAGATCTAAATATGACGACTTGATAAATGAGGGGCAAATAAGCTTTAATAGGTGGCAAATAATTTTTTTTTCTTTAAAATATGGAATACTTAACAAACTTGCATGTCATGTGATAATGATTTTCTGTATCATTCCAATTTTAGTACATGTGCTGCTGAACCAAGCATGGTGGTAAATAATTTCATATTAAATATTATGGATCCAAACTGGCAGGCTAAGAGTAGAGATTTGACATCTCATAACCTTCTGGAGAATACAGCCTATGCTCTGGTTGCTCTGTTTGCCTACCGCAAAATGTTTTTGATTCGTTTTATTTTTAATCTAACAAAAATGTTATAATGAGGGAAGCAAAAGTTTATGCTTAGAATTCATAGCTATAATTTTTTGGTTAGAATTCTTGCTCAGAACTTTTAAAAAATATGTTTTTATTGATTTGGGGGGGTGGGG